GGTTGACCCAAACAAGGCAGCGCTGCCCGACGTGGACCGTGTCGTATGCCGTGTACTCATTTAACAGAAGCTCGCTGTCTCTCCCCGCAGAGCCCACTAGCTGTCCATCGGAGTAGCGCTACATACGCCATCGAGCATGTGCTTCTTTCCGCTATCAGTTAATGGCATCAGTGAGCACTTCATCACTCCACTAACATTGGCGTTCTCATCCTCGTATGCCTTCTGTTGCTACCCGCGCCTGTGGCCCTGTTCAATTTCGCAGATGCCATTCTTCACTCCCCTCCTCAAAAGCACTTCTTTACAAAAACGCATCTCGCTTCTCTGATTTTCCCTCACCTCAAAACCTTGTGACATAATATGCACATGACCTTGGATCTGTCGCTGCAACTAAGCTGGATATAGGCGCATGGGGATGCTTAGTATCTGACCTCAACTCTTTAATTTAGTTGACCTGATTGCTCAGTCACACTTCTTTCCTGCTGACTCCATGAGTTCTTTTATCGTGACATTTCTCCTGTTGGTGCAGTTAAAAAATAGACAGATGAAATAATGACACCATATACGCACGTCGACTCAAAATAACGCCAAGCTACTTACAGGTCAGAACTTGATTTAAGAGGAGTAGAACAAACTCTAATTCGACTTCCAATAAATCGAACGTCTAAATAGAAAAATTAGCAGGAATTTTAACAATCATGAACATCAGTGACAAGTAAGAGGAAAACCGTCAAAAAACACCGCAGCAAACAATGCAGGCGTGCACATGTAAATCCAAGTGAGCCGCCCCCAAGCGGGAGAAGCAAAACGTACGATTCCTGACAAATTCAAACAGACCGAAGCGTCCTGAAACTAAAAAATCGAACTTCTAATAATAAATACATAAAGATTGCTGCATTATAGATTAGATTCTTTTCTACATAAAAATTTTAACAGCAATGGGAAAGTCTGTACTATTAAACTTATAGTTGTTTTAGCAAAATAGCCAATAAGCATATAATTGCCCGTTATTCGTCGACTGTACTAAGTAAAATGGAATTGCTTTCAATCCTCAGCTATAAGACATATTCTGAAGGATATAACGGAGAAGTAATGTATTCCCCTAAGTCAATAATGACACTGCAGTAGACCATAAAATTATGAAGCACTACTTACAGCTAACATATTTAACATTCGAAAGGGCAAGGGCTCAGACTTCAGCTGTCCGAGGAACAATGATAAAGTACACATGCTGAAAGTCCTCTCGTCTACAAACAGCTTCGTTCAAAACGCGCAACTTCATACTTAGCCAATACTTGTTTAACACACCATGATGCAGACCTAAAAAGGTGCTCCACTAGTGATATTCAAAGACGAGGTTTTGCTCACTAACAATGGCATAAAAAACGACAACTAAAAGGGGAAGTTTAGAAGACCGTGCTTAAAAGACAAAAGGGCTATGGAATGCTCGTGTTGTTTAAGTGTACCACTAAGGGAAAAAGGGAGCAATCTGCACTAACGTCGTGATAAATTCATCGTAAGAATTTCCAGAGGCAGAGAAGAGCTCCTCATCCGGAATCCATAAACTTGTACTGATTTTGTCAGCTATGGAAATAACCCAACGAATTAATCTGTTCATTTAAAAAGGTATAAGAGCAGGAGTGAGTGAGATAAACCAAGAACTAGCTTATATCTAACATTACTGATATTATATTGCATTACCTACCTTGTTTTAATGTTTCTTTCAGAGAGGAGGCGCGGATACAATTCAAACCTGGTGGCAGAGTCGATGTCTCCCAAACCTGAGAGCGATTGCTTATCCTCTCTCCCTAAACTTTGTACTAATTTTCCCGATCCACTTTTCCCGCGATAAAAACATCGAAATCAAACCAACTTGGTTGTTTTAAGAGTATGAGGAACAGGGAAGAGGGGATCTACGTGCCTCGTTCCACACTAATGGCAACACCAACAGACCTCCCCCTATCAAGGTTAATATGAACTTCGAAAACTGGCTAACAACTGCTAAATTCAACCTCCATCTTTATCTTCAGTGCCAAAGAATACCCTTGATTCTCCGTGCTCTTA